ATGGATTTCCTGCAGAAGCCCATATGTTTTGTTTTGGGCCTTTTGGGGTTTGGGCAGGGACAAAAGGACCCGCCAAAGATGGGCATGTTGGCCGCTCGATGGTACGGAGCGCGCCGTTGCTCGGACAGTACAAGACACAAGACCTTGCCGGACCAACCAAGTTGGGGATCATTTTCGTCCGGGAGCCCCACTACTGCTACTTCCCCTACCATCCCCTAGAACCATCCCCTAGAACTGCTACCACTGCCACTCTGCGACTCCGCACCGGACCCGTCCTCCGGTGTGAAGTCGCGCAAATCGCGCGCGCGAGGCTCAGCTCTTGGCCAAGGAGAACGACCAGCTGCGCTCCGAGCTCCACGACCGCACGGCCGCTCGATTTGGCCAAGCCGGCAGATGTGGAGGGGGGGGGGTCAGGGGGGAGGGGGGTGGGCTCCTCTGAAATTGGCGGAGAACAGATGGAGTCTGGTTTTGTACGTTTGTTTGGCTTGGTTCTGCTCGTATGCAATGGAATTGTCGAAAAAGGACGCCCAGGATGGGGTGTGGCCAATCAGGGACGTTCGGACGTGCAGGCTGGCGCATCCAAGGGGCGCGGGTCTATCAAAACGCATGAGTGCTTTGGGTTGGTGGGGATGGTCAGCAAGCCTTCCACAACATTTAGATACTGATCTCGGAGCCGCTATGCGCCTCTGTTGGGATTGAGCCCCTAGGGGGGGCTTCACAACCGTACAGTGGATGGACAAAATCCACTTCACACCAGTTAGTAGATGGTTTATCCCAGTGGTTTTTAAGGTTTTGTCCATCCCAACTCGTGTGAGGTGGATTTTGTCCATCTACAGCAAGCAACAAAACAGAAGGATTCCCTCCAAAAGCTCCAATCGGGCACCCCAACAACAACCAACCAACTAACCAACCAACCAACCAACCAACTCACCCCAGACGCAAGCCGAGGAGCAGCTCCGCAACGCGCAGCTGCTGGGCACGGCCGCAGGACTGTGCGATGCGCGGTGGTCAGGGAGAGCTCAGCGGATGCAGCGGCGCTTTGCGTCCTCCTTTTTTTTTCTTTCTTCTTTTCTCAGGGGTTAAATTATTCTTCTTCTTTTCTGTATTTCTTTGTAAGAGTTTTTTTTTAATCAGGTGAATTCTGGAAGAGCGCAGATGATGTATTCGCCCGGGCTTGGAAAAGCAGGATCATGCAGAAGTGTCTTATGGGTGTGTCATTTTTAGGAACTTCCCTTCCCCCATCCCCCCCCAAAAAGAAGAAGAAAAACGTGGTTTTCATTGTGGCTTCCCTTTAACCCCTTTAACCCCTTTAACCCCTTTAACCCCTTTAACCCTTTTACCCCGTTTAACCCCTTTAACCCCTTTAACCCCTTTAACCCCTTTAACCCCTTGAACACCACACAACCTCAAACAAAATACAACACCCATATCTTTTCAGCACGCGGGCAGATACCTCCCACCCGTTCCGCCGTTCCGAGGAGAGGCACAGACTTTGGATGCCAAGGACCAGCAGGCTTGGGTTAGAGTTCCAGGAAAAAATCTGCGTGTGGCTCAAAATTAAATGATCGGAGGGGCAAACCGCGGGTTTTCCAGTTTCCACAAACCAGGGCAAGCCATTGTGGAATTCCGTTTTTTTGGTTGCCACAGCCATATAGGGGTTGATTCCCCTATTCGGATATCAGATGTAGATGCTTCTCAGTGACTGAGATCCAAAGAAAATCTTGGCAAGTGGTAGATCTGCTCTTCTAGGGGTTGATTCCCCATTCTTTTCAGCCATCGTTCTTTCCAACAGCCGGATCCTTTTTCTCTGGGTTTCCGGAGGTGAGGTTTTCTAAAAAGATTTGGATCCCTGGAAGGTAGAAAAACAGTTCGGATGCATTTTTTTGTGGATTTCGACCTGTTCCTCCCCCTGTTGGTCCAGCAGGGAGACACAGGTGATGATTTCAGCTAAGGCACGGTGGTTTTGCGTTTTTTCTCCACAAAGAAAAGACAACCTTTGTAAATTCTGTTTTGATACTCCTTTCCTAATTTGAGGTTTCGGTGCAGCGTCGGTGGGGCCTAACATGTCGGAGGAAGAGATCCAGGAGTTGTACCGTCTCAGCGTGGAGCAGAACGAGGACCCTGTGACGCTGATTTTTTATCGGGGGAATTTCCAGATTGCCATGGCTGGTGGTTTCTCAAAAATCGTGGTCCCCCAAAATGGTCGGCTCCTTTTGGCTTTCCCTTTAAACACGTGCGGAACGCTCAAATTGCAGGATGCCAGCATGGTGAATTCCTGTGGAGCCCGTTCACGCAAGCGCTCCATATCCAGATGAATACAAACCCTCCGAAAATGGAACCTGACTCAAGGTTCCTGAAAGACATGTTTGGTCCAATGGCAACCCTTTGGGTTCCATGTTACTTGGCAGGTCAAGATGCGGCATGTTTGAGAATTGGAACAATGAGAAATGGCGGTGGGTCAAAAATATGTACCCAAAATGGAACCCTGGTAAATGGAAACATGGACCAAAACCTGCGGTCCCTGGTGGTTTAATTTTGACCCACACCCAAATCATTGAATGGACGAAGTCCATAACTTATAATGTCTGAGAGTTGTTGGCTGTCAGTCTGTGAGAAAAAACGACCACATCATGTTTCACGTCCTGCGCGTCCTTTGTGCCATTGGACAATCTATTCGCAGCTTCCTGCACTCGTCGGCAGATTGCACCGAGAGTTGGGCCTCGGTGGTCTGGGGGTTGGGTAGCTTTGCTTTCCAACCCATTTGGCTCCACAGTGCCCTAAACCATCGTAGGACTCAACAGATTCCACCAACCAACATTTTTTTTGGCACCATCCAACACATTTTGTCCATTTGTTTTTTTCGAAGAAGGGACATGAGGCCCACCAATTGAAGGTGTCCTAGAATAGGCCAAAAAGAAACCAGCCACCTGGACGGGTCGTGAGAAGCCATGGGCCTAGTGGAACTTTCTGAAGCTCCCAAATCCCTGATGACTAACGGAAACCGACAAACTGCACACGTTTTTGGGGAGCAATGCTCACTCTGAACCGAAGCTTCCCGGTTTTGTTGGAAACTCCTGGACGCTTTTGGACTGGTAGATATGACCCCCAACATGGCAACGGTTTCCTTTGCTTTTCTCCAAATGAAAGATTGAGCTCCAAAACGAGACACACATTGCTGCCCCCCCCCCCCCGCAATGGAGAGAAAAAACACTTTTCTGTCTTGAAATGACTCCCCCCCCGCCCCGAAAATTGACAATTCCCAACCTTGGTGGTTCCCATCTTCTCAGATGTTCGGCCTTTGCTTGTGATGTTTGTGGGGATTTCTCTGAATTTCCCCCACTCAATTGTTCATCACTGCTTTTTAGTGGGGACTTTTTTGGTGGAGGTCTGAATTTCCCCCATTGAGTTTTTGTCATAAGCCAAGCTTCGCGCTCTGATCGCTCCGATCGCTCCGCGGTTTCCAGGCGCTGGCGCAGCAGAACCAGCTGCTGAAGCTGCAGCTGGAGCGCATGCAGCGGGGAGCTCAAGCCAAGAGACGCGTGGCGTGGACGAACTCAAATCCAGTTCGCACCTAAGAAACCTTGCAATTCGCACCACCTAAGAAACCTTGGAACACCACCACTTAGAATTTTCCTCCAAAAAAACAACACGGGACACCCCCAGTCCGCTAGGGGTTCCCCTTGCGTCCGAATCTTTTCAGCAAACCATCAAACACCCAGGAGAAACAGCCGGTTTTGGCAAAGAACGATGGTTGAGCAGAATGAGGAATGAACCCCTAGAATACGCGTAGTATGTGTGCACGCAAAAAGACCTTTCTGTATACTGTGCCTCGAAATTGGTGTGTGTTGTTGAACCTTGGATATGGGCAGCCCCTCTATGATCCAGACATGTTCTTACTTATGAACCAATGACTGAACAAAATGAAATGAGATGGCATGAAATTGAACGAAATAAAATGGCATCAAATGAAATTGAATGAAATGGGTGGATGGATGGGTGAAGGAACGAACGAGCGAAGGGACGGATGCGTGCATGCATGCATGCATGATGCCTGAAGAATGGAATGAATGGAATGAACTGGAATCGAATGAATGGGAAGGACAGGAAAGGAAAATGCAGGAACGCAAAGGAAAGGAACACAACAGAAAGGAATGGAACGGATGGATGAATGATTGAATGAATGAATACATGCATGGATGACATGACATGACATGACATGCCGTGCCGTTACGTGAGATGACATGACATCACATGACATGACATGACATGACATCACGTGACATCACGTGACATCACATCACACCACATCACATCACATCACATCACATGACATGACATGACATGACATGACATGACATGACATGAATGAATGAATGAATGAATGAATGAATGAATTAATTAAATAATTAATTAATGGATGAATGAATGAATTAATTAATGAAGGAAACCAGGAAGAAACAAACGAACGGACGCACGAACGGACGGACGGACGGAGGGACGGAGGGATGGATGGAGGAGGGGAGGGAGGGAGGGAAGGAAGGAATGAGGGAATGAATGGAATGACTAGCATTGATGGAATGAATGGAATGAATGGAATGCAGGGAATGCAGGGAATGCAGATAATGCAGGGAATGGGAGGCCCATGGACTGCATGGAATGCATGGAATGAATGGAACAAATGGAATGGATGGAATGGACGGAATGGATGGAATGCAAAGAATGGATGGAATGAATGTAAAGAATGCAATGAATGGCAAGGAATGGATGGAGTGAATGGATGGAACGGACGGAGTGGATGGCATGGATGGAATGGATGGAATGGAATGGAGTGGAGTGAAATGGAGTGGAATGGAAGGGACGGGAAAGGGATGGAAGGAAGGATGGATGGATGGAAGGAAGGAAGGAGGAAGGAATGAACAATGAAACAATTCGTGAATGAATGCATTGCACGAACGACCCGACACATAGATCAATACACCACTCAATCAATGGATACAAAAAACTCTAGCTCTGAACAAGCAAACATGGAGGTATGCATATCAAGATCGCCAGACAGCCAGGTAGCCAGACAGCCAGGGGCACGCAGATAGACGGGCAAGTAAACACAAGTAGATTGGTATAGTGGTCATCCCTATATATTTATACACACCGACATAAGGAGATGTATGCGGTGTATGTTCGAAAGCCAGGGGGCCAATTTCAGCGGTGGCAAAACGTGGGCAGTTTCCGCCCTCCAGATACGGTTCCCTAGTTGTGCGTTTTGGTCCAAAGAAGAAGCTTCTCCACGATGAATCATGCCCGCCTACCGCTTCTGGGGTGACTTTGAACATGGAAAGAGCGTGGGGTTCCACTATATCCCGGAATTCCTCACTCGGCAAGGCAGACACTTGCTTCTGGCCGACAACAAGCACAGGAGGCTGGGGAGTGATGTTTCGGAAGCACAGAAGTGACACAGGCAACAACTCGGGCCACATACAGATGGCAGACGTGATGCGCATGCTTTTCCACTTTCCTGGAACCGAGCTGACGTCCGGAGGTCGCCAGTTACTTGCTTGAAGCAGTTTTGCTTCAGGTCTATGCCAAAGCGCATGAGAACCATAGCGCGCTCTCGGAAGAGAGACAGCGAGCAGAGGCTGGGACGTGCAAGGTTGGTACCGTGGATGGTTGTGAAATCCAGGTCGCACCACTTGGAAACCATGGTGGAAACCATAACGTTGGTTGTCATTCCAGGGTGTCTTAGGTGGTGCAGGATTTCGTCCATCCACAGTATGTCCTCGGGGTTGCCAAGGGGTGATCCGTATTTTTGGGCTTGACTTCGCTCATGAATTTGCCATACGCGGGTGTCTGTTTTTCGGGGACCCCCAAAACGGCTGGTTTTCCTGTTGGCTTCCCTTTAAAACCACCGATCAACATGGAATCTGACAGGGAAGTCCTGAAAGGCCATTTTTCACGGGTGCCGAACGTCAGGTTCCGGCTGTTGATTGGTGGGAGGGTCAACCCATGCCATGCTTCACGCTTTTCGGGCTTCCCCCTACTCAAAATACCCGCATTTTTTTCAGGGGATTTTTGGAACAGCCTAGTTTTCCAACGGTTTTCTACCTCCTTTAGGGTCGACATGATACCCTGAAAAAACGAGAGTATTTGGAGTTGGGGTTCTTTTTCCCAGGGCTCCGATGCGCAGGTCCTAGCACGTCAGCGGGCCGCTGCCGAACAGAAGTTGGAGGAGGCAAATTTCGTCGAATAAGCGGAAGGAACGGTCCCAGAGAGTGCGCTAAAAGGGGCTTGCTCCAACGCGATTCCTTTTTTTGGGTTCCATGTTCCAGGATTTCAATCCCGAGCCATTTCCTCTTTTTGTTTTTTTTCATCGCTTCGTGGCCATGGTTTTGGTGGACACCACCAGTAAATTGATCAATTGTTGAAATGGACATCCAGTGACCCATGTGTTGATCTATTTGGAGGGTAGCTTCTTTCCGAGAACCACGGCCGATCGGTTTCCCAGGACAAACCCCCAGCTCCCGATCAGCTTCTGGGCGGCAAAAACCCCGGAAGGGCTTTCCCCTTGACGTAGACCGCTGGTCGGGTCAAAACTGGAGCCCAATCCACGACTTGCATCCAAACTTTTTCCCCATTTTCAGGCGAAACATCTGAATGGAGCGACTCGTGCCGCTGAAAGGAGCGAAGGTCAAGATCTGGATGACATTGGGCAAAGATCCAGCGGCCCGCGAGATCCCGGTCCGAACAGAAAAAGCCTTATGGGTCAAAATTAAACCAGGATCTAAACCGCAGGTGTTCGTCTTCTCCATTTCCCAAAACGGCCGTTCCCAAGTTCTCCGGCCGCAGGTGACCAGCGAGCTCTTGGAGCAGGTGAACCAGCGGGACGCCGTGGAAGCGGAGGTTGGGGGTTGGGTTGACCCCAGTGGGCGCGGCCAATTTCTGAGGTTGGAGTAACCCCCCCAAAAAAATGGGCGGTGGTTGTCACAAATAGTTGGTAACCCCAAAATGGGTTGCCCTGGTAAACAGAAACATGGACCAAAACTGGCGGTCCGATTCCTGGTGGTTTACTTTCAAAACCAAATGGCTGCGGTGGTGTTCCTCTCTTTTTTTGTTGTTGGTGAAACCCCACACAAAAAGGGGGTTCCAACTCAAAGAAATGTGCGAGCCCGTGTGTGAAGCTTGGCCCCTTTTCATGAGAAAGGCTTTGTTGCAGCTTTGTGACGTGTCGCAACAAGTGTTTAAGTCGAGCGACTCGTGGCAGGACTGGTCAGAGTTTCAGTATCGCATTTTGCGACACTTGCTGTTTCATCGTCATCTCAAACAGATCCTTCTCACCAAGTTCGTCGCCATTTTGTGGAAGATATGTTTGCCCGTTCCTTCAAGGCCAACCGCATGGTTTAAGGCGAGCGCCAGAAATCGCAGAGCCGAACTTCGGCCTCGCCCATCTGTGTTGCATTTTGTTTGCATGTTAGGACTTTGTAACTTTTTGCCAACTCATGGGTGTTTTCCCCTTAAACCCACTAAAGTTAACTTTTTGGAAGCTTAAACACTTTTTGCCAACTAATGGGACACTTTCCATGAAACGAGCGGGTTTTCCATGAAACCAGGGGAGCGGAAAGCACCGAACTCGCCAGATCGAAGTCCTCCGGCACGAGCTGGATGTGCAGAAGCAGACCGCGGAGATCAACCAGAAGTCCTTTCAAGAGAGGCGGGCGCCGGGGACGGCGGGGACGTTTCGTCGTTTTTGTTTTTTTTTCTCGACGACCCCAAAGACGAGTCTGAAACCCAGGGGCGGTTGTCCCCGGAAGTGTTGCAGGACCCCGAAATGGAAGAGGTTCCATGTACAGAGGCCAATTGGGAGCTTCCATGAAAGGGAGTGCTGTGATGTTTGACTCCTTGCGATGTTCGCCGACTTTGTCAACTCTATCAACTCTGTTAAGGGATGAGCCTATCTGATCATGACAATGTGGTTAAACTTGAACAGGGTGCAGTTCAGCCCTTCCAGTGTGCATGACAGCAGGGCAGCATGGCAGCACTGTGCCCAAGTTCGTATCGTGGCAGAGGATGTCATTTTTGCGAAGGCTCTTCAGTAAGCCCCCCGGGAAATGTTCAGACTGAGTCCTGAAAGTTTGGGTGGGCAAAGCTTTGGGATTGCGCCCAGACCCACTCCAGTCAGCAACACCCTGAAGTGGGCAGCTAGTTGGCCACACTTCAACTTGGACCAGCCGCCCTGACGGCGGACGGAATTGTTGAGGAAAAACACAAAAGACAACCAAATAGAAAAATACAACTAGTTGTTCGGTTACCCCTTATGATCAATGTGGAGGTTGATCAAAAGGTCCTATTTATGGGGTGACCTGCCGGGAAATCACCAAAAAGCTGACTTTCACGGGAACAAATACCCATCATTTTGGGGCCCTAAATGGAATCTTGATCAACCCGCCATCTTTATTCTACGGCGCGAGAAGAACACTGAATTTTCGGTTCTCCCTTTCTGTTGCTTGTGGTCAGTAGGGAATGACCCGTTCCGGGTGTGGGGCATGAATCGGAAGGCGATTCCCCAATAAATGACACCAAATTGGGGGTGGTTTTGAACCGGAAGGGGATTCCCTTCAAGGAGATCAAATCGGGGATGGTTTTTCTACAGGGCATTCCATTTCTCATTCCCAACTGAAACCCATCGCAAGTCCCGGCGCCGATCGATCGAAGACGTCTTCCATCGATTGAAGAGGTGCGCGCTGGCCATGGACGAGGAGGAGCGCCTGAAGGCCGAGCTAGCGCGGACCACCAAGAGCGAGCGTGCGGGGACGCCCAGCGGCCGGAGCGGACCAGTGGACGACTCTTTTTTCCTGGCCATCCGGTTTTCAACGTAGTTGTTTATTTTTTATTTTATTTTAGGTTTTTGGTGTTCAGGGGGGATGTGTTCAACTTAGGTTTTTAGGTTTTTTGGTGCCTAGTGGGGATGTCCGAATAAACAACTACTAAACGTTGATTTGTTTTTTCTCAGGGGGATCTGAGGACGGCCGGTTGAGTGGTCTGAATCGAATACCTAGGCATAGAATGCGACGTATATGTATATGTATGTTCCTGTTTATGTTTGTTTGCATGGTTTGTATGTGGATAGGTGTGCATGTGGGTAAACTTGTATTTGCATGCGTGTATGCGTACATACTGACATGCGTGTATATATATATATATACACACGTCTATACCAATTTGCAAAGAGTGTACATATCATTTATCTACAGCTAGAATGCTTTGGCACCTGGCTTTTTTTGTTTTGCATGTGTTGTGGTAGGTTTGCAATGTTTCGGATTTCCAAGCAGTCTTCTGTTTCGGGATGGAGCTCGTGAGCCCGAAGATAGAACTAATGCTGCTTGTCAAGTTGGATGCTAAACTCAACCCCCTGATTTCATGTGCGGTTCACTGTAAAGGGACATCGGGATGTGCCATGTTTTCTGCTGTTCTGATACTTCATTCATTGATTGGGCGACCTTTGAAATCTTTGTGAACTGTTGCTGCTCTTTTTGCAGTTGCCATGCTGCATTCAACCTCTATTTCACTGCTGCTGTTGCTGCTGCTGGTTAAGATTGATATGAACATGATGAAGATGAAGAAGAAAAAAAAGCAGAAGAAGATGGAGAAGAAGGCGAAGAAGACACAAGAAGATAAAGAAGAAGGAACATAACAAGAAAACACATGTTGGTGATGACAATGACGATGACGATGAAGATGACGCTGACGATGAAGATGACGGTGACGATGACGATGATGATGATGATGATGATGCTGATGATGATGAGGATGAGGATGAGGATGAGGATGATGAAGATGACGATGAGGAGGATTATGAATGCTCTTGTATGCTAATATGTCCTTGCCTTCGCATGCGGGGACGTACAACCGCTGAAGCCTACTTGCGTCCACTGGGTCACTTGGCCCACTTGGTCCACTTGGTCCACTTGTCCACTTGGCCTTCGGCGAGCCGACCAAGTACCCAAGTGGGCCAAGTGGCCAAGTGGACCAAGTGGCCGAAGCCACTTGACTTGCTCCCAGAGCAAGTGCAAGTGGCCAGGTGGCAGTCAGCGACTACTGCCCCGGATTCCGTGCGCCCTCTGATATTGTGCAAGCCGTTAGTATTGTTATTGTAGGCACTTATGATTGCCACATCGTCATCCAGCATCATGACTGGGCGTGTTTGAATGCCCAGTTGAAAAGAGTGCTTCGTGAAGATCCGAGTGGCGCAAGAATGTGTGCTGACATGCGAGGGGAGCCTGGTTCGTAGCACCTTCGAGCCCCTCTTAGCAACGTGATCAAAGAGGGGCACGCTTGAAGTGCCACAATTAATAAAACGTAGTATCATTACCATTATTAGCAGTACCATCATGATTATTACGTGTTTTTTTACTTTACATTAACGCAGCGCGCTGCCCGCGCTGAAGCAGGCGCGGCTAGGCTTCGCGCGGCCATGGCTCAGCTACGTGAAGCGTCTGGCTTAGGCCGGGCTGAGTTACATTTGGACGAAGTCTGGGGGAAGGGAAGCAGGGCTGGGGAGCAACGGTGCAACCCGCAAATTAGGATTGCAGGTTGCAGTGCAACCCGTAGACCTTAGGATTGCAGGGTGCCATGGTGCAGCGTGCAAATCTTAAGGATTGCAGGGCGCAACGGTGCAAGCCCAAAGGATTGCAGTGCAACGGTGCAACCCGTGAACCTTCAGCATTGCAGGGCGTAACGGTGCGCCGGCAGATTGCAGGGTGCAACGGTGCCCGCAACCTTGAGGATTGCAACTGCGCAACTCAGGATTGCAAGGTTCAATTCAGAAACCTTCAGAGGCAAGGTGCAACGGTGCAACCTGCAAACCTTTTCGATTGCAGGTTGGAACTGCAGGCGCTTGAGACATTGATCCCGCAGGTTCCCTTTTCCACATGCGCGCTTGCGAACACCGAGACTGCTGTTGGAGCGACTCTTCTGCGACAGAGAGTGGACAGTAGCACCGCAATGTGCAAAGCTGAGCGCAAAAGGCGCAGAGTTCCGGGCGCAAGTCCCGCTTGCAGTCGCTCCTGCAAGGCTGCTTGTGAGCCGGTGCAAAACTGAGCCATTTCTGAAACAATGATTTGTCCCCGAAACAATACTTTTGGCCCTACGAAGCATTTGCTCAATGCTCTGGGGTCCTCTCCCTGACTTGCGCAAGCGCCAGCCCTGCAGCAAGCCATTAAGTAGATTGAACTCCCCTGTCGCGTGGCACGCCTGCTGTGAGCAACACAAGCATATGCGTCTGCGAGGCAGTGAGTCACTGCGTACTCAAACTCAGGGCGGTCATGACGTCGAATGTGAGCTTGAGCTACCATATTCAGCCCTTTTTCCAGAGCGAGAGTATGTGGCTATGCTCCCGACTCAACTGCGCTCCCGACGCAACAAATGCTCTTTGCTCTTGATGTTCTTCTTGGATTGCTCAAACGTGAAAATGGCTTGGTTGTTGGCCCGCACTTCGCTTGTCGAGGATGTTCTCTTTCTTTGACCTTCTTGGTCGCCAGTTTTTCCACCTTTGGCGCTCCGCGCGCTTTCGAGCGCCACGGCGCTTTTCGTCGTCGTTGTCGTTGGGCGGGGTTGAGAACGGGGCGCCTATGGTCTAAATAGGGGACTTAACAGCATCATGCTGATCATTATACCGATATCATCATGATGAAGAGGATGATGATGGGGATGGGGAATATGAGGATTATGAGGATTATGCGGATGATGAGGATGATGAGGATGATGAGGGTGATGAGCATGATCATGAGGAGAGCTATCATGATGGTGATGATGATGACGATGATGATGACGAAGGTGAGGGCGGGGTAGCTGCTCGGGCCGCTGCCACGTTGCATGTTTTCTCATCGTGGGGCAGAGTGCGGGGCTTGCCAAGGAGTACCGGCGGCAAGCCTTAGAGGCCCAACAGAATGGAGATGAGGCCTGGCTTGGCTTGGGGATGATGCGCGAAGGAATCAAACATTGTTGATTTTCTGGAACCTCCGCGTGAAACCAGATGTGGAATTATCTTACAGAATCGGAAAGCTCATCCCGAGGGAATTGAAGGTCTTCATGTTTGCGTCCCCCAAGATTAAGGACCATGACAGATCCCGCGCAGACCACGCTGACCATCCGGCCCATATGGGTTTGATGCCACCAGATTCCAGCCACCTGTCGATAATTGGCAGATCGCAACATGTTTCATTGAGTTCTTTCCACCCCCCACGTAAGATGGCTAGCCTGCTATGCAGATTAACCAAGCATGGTGTTGAATATACCACACAACAATCGCAAGACATAGTGAAAAACATGAGTATTCAGTTTCTTTCAGTGCCTTCTCTTGACCCCCCCGCCCGCGCCTTGCTAAATTGAACATCTCATTTCTGGCAACTATTCTTTTGTGCCTCAAACGTTTTGCAACTACTTTTCCCCAACAGCTGAGAGCCATGGGGTCTCTGCCCAGACAGGCTTTGGGGGGGTTCGGGGCTGTTGGCGGTATCACATTTTTTTTTGCATCGGGATGGAATCGTCAAACATACGGCCCGTTTTTGGACGCTGATGCCGCCTTGTGCTGCCTTCAAAAAGGCCACAACCTTCGCTTCCCCCTAAAAATGGCTGGTCGACATAAGCCAGCAAGGGGTCTGGTCCTCCATTTTGTCTATGGCTTCTGGGTTCTTGGAGAAACCAGTCACCTTTTCCCCACGGCCCTTTCGGGTAAAACCTCCTTCCCCCGAAAACTCTCTCTCGCCCATTTCTGGGGTGGGGCCCGCGCCCCTCGAAGCGCGCAGCGCGGGCGAGAGAAGCGCAGGCCACGGAGCAGCTGCACTTGGCGCGGAAGGAGCTGGAGGCCTCCAAGCAGACGGCCCGGAGGCCTAGAGGCTTCGCTTCTCGGCCGGGGTGGTCTTCCGATCGAAACGAAGGCGCTGATTCAACAAAGCAAGAATTGGTCTCCCTTTGGCAGATTTTCTTTTCAGAAGAAAGAGTTGAAGAAAGAGTGCAAGGTTAGGATAAAAGGTGGGAAGCTCTCAAAGTAAGGAACCCCGGCCCCATAATGGGTGGTTCCTTTTCTTTTGGCCTCTGTTTAAGCATCCCAAATAAAGGTTGTTGCCCTCACAAAACGAGATTGACCCATCTGTTATTTGCACTTGTGTCAACCTTGGGCAAAGGTGGTTGTTGGTTGTGTGACACTGGCCTGCTTATATCTTTAAAGCACAAGAACTCAAGAGTTTCGTTGTACACAACGCTTCACACAACGTAGCTCTGCCAGTTTGGGAAGACTATGCCCCCCCTCAGATCTCCAGATGCAGATGGCAACCCACAGAACCGATGCACATAATGAGCTCGGGTGAGAGTTACGTTTGGTGCCTCAAAGACTTGGTGGGTGAAATCCGTCGCACCCCCCCCAGCAACCCCCGAAACCTGACGCCCGTCGTTGTCGGGTGTCAAAATGACCGCCGCCCGAGCGCGCGAGCCTGGAAGGGTTGCCAGCCTCTGCAAGGCCGAGGAGTTCTTGCAGAGCACGGAGACGCTTCAGCGCCGGCTGCTGGACATCAAGGACATGTACGAGGACAAGGCGTGTGGGGGGACCTTTGGGGTTGGCGGTCGTGGTGCAAAAAGGATGTCTAAAAAAGGGTCCCAGGGCAAATCACAGCCCAGGTCTTGGATTTGGCAAGAGGAAGGACTCCACTAAAAGGCTGACACGGAACGTGCGGAAGCAGTCTGGAAAGCCAGTTGCCCTTTCACAGGGGAAGTCTTTCAAGTTCGGTTGCTTTTGGCACCATTACAACGCAGATAGTCACAACAGAAGCACAGCGTGTTTGCCTGGCCGATGGGCGTGCAGACCGAGGAGACGGCCAGAGGCAAGAGAAACTCATAGGAAAACTTCACAGTAGCCGTGTTGGCGAAGGGGATCGCAAGCAGGCTTTTTTGTTTTTTTAGGAAACACGTGGGAGCAGTGGTCTTTTAAATGTCTACTTTGGTCAAAGCCTCATCAGAGCTCGGAGAATGCCGGCCTTGTCCAACCCCCAGTCGAGTGGCAGTCCATCTACTGACCATGGACCCCTAAGGGCTATGAGGGAGAGGGGGCCTAGCTTTCTATCCTTGGCTTATCCTGGACTTATCCATGGATAGCCGCCCCCCCATCGCCTTTAGGGGTCCATGAAAGGATGTGCCCTCCCGCCCACTAAAGTAGCACCTGTGGAAGGATACCTGAAAGATCATGTTCCTCTTGTCGGGATCCTCTGTCAGGTGCCATGTCAGTGGGAGTGAGGGTATCTGTCCGTTCCTTTGCTCCGAGACGGGGCCAAGAACTTGGCGAATCCGCGCGCATGCGCCGCTTCGAGCGCTCGAATCGCCGATTCCGGCGGCCGGTCGCAGAAAGCCACGCTGGCCGACACGGAGGCGAGGGCGCGGCCCTCGGGCGCTGGTTCCTCTGGGGGCGATGGTGTGGGAGGACACTCCGACGGATACCAAAAGGGATGCTAAAGACCACCTTTCAGTGCAGGGTTTGGGTTGGGAAGGTCTGCAAACCCGGGTCCGAAGTGTTGCTACCGTGACCCGAAGGAATTTCAGCCTGGTCACTCGTCCATCTTGCCACTTGCGATATTGGTAGTCGTGCATTCTCCCGCTCAACATGAAGCCTGACAACTGAAAAATCCTGAAGGCCATTTTCCGAAAGGGATCCTGTGGTTTCCATGCGACAGCGTACATGAAGATCAGAGGTGTCTTGAGGCGCCCTTAATTCATTCTGAAGCGAGGTCCAAAGCCATGGCTTTTCTCAGTTCTGGGGGATGGACTTGTGGGGTGGTGGTGGTTTTCTGTGATGCCGATCAACATGCCAAGACGCGAAAGAAACATCGTAGATGTATCTCCTGATTTTGTTTCACTCCTTGTTTGGGTTCCATCCTTGGATTCCTCCCCATTCCAACAGCTCTACTCCTGTCCATTTTCGGGTGGGGAATGGACATTCCCTAAAAGTTGGTGTACGTCAAAACCATGGCATTTTTGTCGCCCAATATGACACTGGCTATTTCCCAAAGGAAGCCAAACTTGGAAGGCATGTTTCCGTCAAGGAACTGCTTTCTCTTTTGGGGTCGAAAATCGGTGGTTCTCCTTTTGCTTTCCTTTAAAACCAGCCCAGAAAGGGTGGCATCATAAAAGACGCACCCTTTTGTTCTTGGGATGACAACCCGTCGAGCCATCCACCCCAGCCGCTGAAGCACTCAGTTGGCGGAGCTGCAGATCGAGAGGGACCGCTGGACCAGCACTGAGGAGGCCGAAGCTTAAGCTGGTCTTGATGGAGCCATTGTGGGGTGAAGATATGTTTGCCCTGGCCCCGGAAGGGCGGCCACATCTTTTCTTTTTTTTTTCCCTGCGGACAAGAACAACAACAACAGGCCTTTCCGTGTTTCCAAGCCTTTACCGTTTTCAGATAGGGAAGAATGATGTAAACACAAACTGTATTCCCTCATTGTATTCCCTCATTGCCATTCATTGACTCATCTTTATCCAAAATTGCATTTGGGAAGAGGCCTTTATGACAGGTTTGACTTGAACAGCCGTGGGATCCCACCGGAGAGGGTGCCGTTCGACGTGCCGCAGACTTCGATGCCAGGCCAGCAAGCGGCAGGCGGAGCGAACCGAGGCGCGGCTTTGGGTGGGGGGCAGGTTTGGGACCTGGAAGAAATCGAGTTGACGAAAGGGTTTGGAGGGGGGCGGTCTCGTTATTTTGGAGGACCCCCCCCCCCCCGAAGTGGGTTGCTTTTAAAGGGAAGCTCCATTTCGTGGCGATTGGTTCAATTCAACGGACACCGCCAATTGATCAACTTTGATTTGGGGAAATCCAGTGAACCCTTGGACAACCTGACAAGTCAGTCGAAGCGATTTCGAGCCAACATGAGCCACTTGCTCAAAACGGCAAATGAAGTTTGGCAAAAAACACAAATGACGTTTAGTCAGGAATAGGCCCAACCACACCTCCGTGCGACTGCCTTTTTGAGTCTTTGGTTCTGGGTACACAGGATCTTAGCGCTGGGTTTGGATGACTCACCTGGGCCGTTGAGGGTGCCGTTGCCGAGCGAGCGCGGAGGCTCGGCTGCGGGAAGAGATCCACGCGCTGAAGCTGGAGAAGGAGCAGGAGGTCGCCAGTTGCAAAGGCGCCGGACCGAAGGTTTTTGCCCCCGAGGGCTTGGCATGGTGTCTCTCGAGGCAGGGGTTGCCCTATAATTCATCCTGTTTATTACTATAAAAATGTCCGATTCTGGTTTTGGTGGAGATGTTTATCACTTTTGGAGGAGCACACCCGTATTAATCAACAGTTTTTATGAATCCAGGGTCAACAAGACCATTTCTTGGGATTGACTTAAAGCGAAACACCACCCCATTGTGGGGGTTCCCCTATTTGGAGACCAACCTATTTTTTTCCGCCTCTTGAACCGCTGTTGAATCTGCACGGGATTGGTTTGGCCAAAACAGGATTAATGGTAGGGAAACAATCTGAGGCCCCCGGCCGAGCGAACGGCGGGTGTCCAAAAGCACCCCGCGGTCAAGCAACGAATCCCCGCAGGCCCATGCCACCCATGTAGGATCCTGACAAGAAACACTCCCATAGAGGCAGCACTGCTTCTTGGGGGGCCAAAGCTTGAGTGAGCACACAACAGAGGAATGTGATGCTGCAATGTACAAAAGGGTAAGCATGCAGCAAGGGACCGCCCACAATGCACTGACTGCCACAGCGCTGCCCTTGCGTGTTATGTGAAAGTGTTCAGCACCAATTGCCGCAGCCTTGCGTGCGCGCACTGTCCGCGGGTGCTTATCATCCCCTCCCTCCATCCTCCACCCGCCACCCTGCGCGCATCCCGGACCCCGTGCGGGTTTTGACTAGAATCTGGATGCATGTTTGAAACCAGAAAGCGTGCCAAGCGGTCTCGTGCGCGTTTCATCGGACACCCCGTGCAGGTTCGAATCCCGAATCCCCGCCCTTGTCTGGTTGCAGTCCTCCGGTGGAAGTGCGTTGGGGATTCAACTTTCTTGGTTTAACGCCCACGGCTCACGATCCTTCACAAAATCCCAAACGGTTTGTGGGCTGACGTCGGTGCGGGGGACACGCCGCAAGTCTGCCATCTCGTGCGCCAATGGGCGAGGCTCGCAGCAGAGGTTGATGGAGGAATTGAAGAAGAGGCCGGAAGAGCTGGGAAGGGGCAGAGAAAAACCGGGTGCGTTGGCTCCTTGCCGGCTTCACAGACGCAAGGAGCAAGTCTGCGGGGTTCGGCTCGCGGCTGCCTTGTGGATTGATTGAACGGCTTTGAGGATGTCAGATGGGCTTGTTGGACGACCCCCCAACTTTGCGTGCTTTTTTTTGTGGGGGGGGGGGATTCCGCAACAGGTGTGTAACTTCTCAGGTGACGATTCCTTCAGTTCAGGAATTGCCAACGAGGTGTTGTGTGAACATGCGGATGCTTGGAACAGCAGCTTTAGGCTTTGGGTCCCTAGCGCCTCTCTGGATGTGCTCAAGGTGCGTGCTTTTGCTCAAGCCTGCTTTCAGGATACCTCATTCTCAGCAGGTACTGAAGACTGTTGTGGTTTTGCCTAGTGATTCTACCAAGCACTCTGAAAGCTATAGGGGTTCCAACTTCTAATAAAGAAGGGAAACTTATTTGCGAGATTGACGGCTGGTTCTACGCTATCTGGGGTCTATGCTGGTGTCATTTTTTCTGTTGGTTTCCATTTTGAGGAGTTTCCTTCTAGCTAGGTCCCCCAGTAGCGCCCTTTCTCACCTTTTTTTGGGGTTTTGGGTTCCCCTGTTAAAATAGACTACAGAAAAAAAGTTGGGACCCTCATTCTCCACTCAAGACTGGAGGACCTCTCGCCTCAGTCCGGAAAGGATCTGCCAGGCTTCGCACCAGCGAGCAGAAGGCCTCGGAGGCCGAGGCCAAGGCAAGCGCGATCCATCGAAGCGCGCCTGGGCGGGGGGGGGTTGGGGGTTGGGGGCAGCGGAGGTCCAAGTGCAAATGGCTGTGGTTGTCAAAACTCATGGGATCCCATTTTGGGGTAGCACCCATTTTAGAACCTATTTAGGGGGGATTGGGATGTTCACTGAGGGTACGGGGTTTGGACCCATGGCCAAATGGAGGCGCATGGGTCTTCCGTTGGCTGAAAGAGTCGTTTTTCTTTTTCCGCTTTTGGTTTTCAAGGGAATCTCTCACTACTAGCAATATGTTCTCATTTTTCCAGAGGGCTTAAGCAAATGGAAGTGGTCAAAGCACTGGGCGACTTGAATGGAGGCATGTCTTCAGTTCGGCCTCTTGGGGGGGGGTCTCAAACCACTTGATTCCCTGATTGCGATTCCAACTTTTGAAGCATGTTTTATTGAGGGTGCGACAGGTAAGGAGTGGTGACCAAGACACCTTTGGCTTTAGAGGCAGTATTGCTCCACCCAAGAGAAGGCCTCTTGAATAGGAGGGTTCCCAATTAAGCTTCACACCCAGCTACTCCTGTTCGTCGATTCGTGTTGAATATAACTGTCGGCTTCTGGCACAGTAAACGAAAGGTGGCAGAGAGGCAGAAGGGTACGTGTGTGTGTGTGTCAAAAACAAGCACTTGGACCCCAAAATGGATTCGGCTTTCCTGTTGATTTCCCTTTCAGCCAACCTTCTGACAGGGTACCCACAGAAAAAAAACCCACAGCGAAAGCGCCTCACGTTTCCTGCTGGCGGTTTCCAGGCGGGGCTTTACGAGAAGCAGCGCGAGTGGGAGGCGTGCCGTGGCAACCGAACTGCGCTGGAGAGAAGGACTCCAAATGGTTTTTCAGGGATGCAATCGGCGTATTTGGGGTCTCCTCCGTCATGGTTTTTAGGGCAGACTAAGTATGGGTTTGTCTTAAAATAGGGGAACCCCAAAATGGGAGGTTTCCTTTTGGTTTCCCTTTAAGCCAGCCAGAAAAGTAGCACCACCAAAAACGACATTCTTATATGGAGTGGAGAGAGAAAAAGCAGATTTCTATGTACCCCAGATGTTGGCCAAGGCGCATTGTCGAACAAGGACATGTTCTTTCCCACTCGCAGCATGTTGCAAATCACGAGTGCTCTCCTTATATGGCGTTTGGCTTCCTCTCCGTTTCCTTTTTGCCCTGCCGGATTTGAGTGCTTGGGTATTCTGTGAACAAACATATTAGCAGACAAGGAACTGTTGCGTGCCTATTCTGCTGCCTGCACCGCCTAGGTTCCGGAGCCGGTTCACTTGGTTGCTGCGCACGCTGTCACTTGCACGAGTTCTTGAGCAGGGACAGAACCAGAGACCTCCTTTTGGAGTATGATTGAATGGAAACAATCAAGGATACGAGTTTCGGGGCTACATGTTCCAGATAAGCTAGTGACACGGAACGCTGCTCAAAACAGTCTGTGCTGTTCAAAGGTAATCCTTAATCCTTGCCTTGTTTTACGCGCCTTAGTGGCTTCCCTATAGGGATTATGTTACCAAATTGGCCAAGCTTCCAAATCTAGAAAACGGTTTGGGTGTCCCTTCTGGATCCCCTGTAGAATTTTAAAGGAGTACCAAAGGATTACTAAAAGGAGGGGTATTTTTTTAGGAGTTTTTTTTTTTTTTAAAAAAAAAAATTCTTCTTTTTTTTCCGCTTTTGGCTTCTTGGCTTTTCGGCTTCTTGGCTTCTTGGCTTTGGCTTTTCGCATCCTTTGCATTCCCAGTTCCTCTTCTTTGGCTTTTGCTTTTGGGCTTTTGCTTTTTGGCTTTTGCACCCTTTCATTGTCCCGCATCATCAGCATCACCAGTTCCTCCAAACCCACCCGCTACTTTTTAGGTTGTTTGCAGAGCAATTGCACCCCTATTTAAATCAACACTTCTTCAAACATCATGGGGGGAGTTGCCGCCTCCCCCCAACCCCCCCGCTACTTTTTAGGAGATTTAATTGCACCCCTATTTGAATCATCACTTTTTCGGTCATCCAATTTCGCGAGAAAATGCTGTAAAATACGACATTTTACGTAATCGATGTAATCCATGTATGTCTGTATGTATACATTTCTTCGAACATCATAGTGGAAGTCACCCCCGTCAACCCTCCCGCTGCCTTTTAAATTCTATCGCACCCTTTCTTCAATCATTGCACCCCTACTTGAATCATCATTTGGATTTTCTACGAGATTTAATTGCAAACCTATTTGAATCATTACTTCTTCGCACATCATGGGGGGGGCTGCCGCCCCCCCCAACCCCTCCGCTACTTTTTAGACTTTTTGCAGAGATTTAATTGCACCGGACCCTCAAACCAGCCACCCTTCTTGAACGTGATTCCGCAACACGTAAAATCAAGGTACGATTGGCTCCGGAGGAGTAAGCTCATGTGAGGTCTGAGTTGCCATCTACAACCTTATCGCAGGTTTGCTCACAAAGGGTGACCATAGGCGGAAAGAACCACAAAATGACTTGAGAGAACTCATTTTCCCAAGGGCCGTTCTACTTATCTACTGTAACGTTGAGCAACCACGTCGCGCGTATTGTTCAGGAAAGTACACAACTTGCTGTTTAAACAAGGAACACAACTGCTCCTGAATTTAGCCGAGGGGTTGGCCACACCAATTATGTCTCGGCAATACATCTTCGGCTTCCCGCTCATTTTGAAGCAATCAGCTGGCCGCTTGTAGATTGCAGCTATATGGCCAGCTGACTTATTATTAACTTGCAATCCGGAACGCCAAACGTGGCGTGATTTCGTTTTGAACTCGTTTAGACGTGCTTTACAACAAAATCGATGCAGATAAAAAGGGGGGGGCAATCTCCTTTGCAGCGCTTTGCGCTTTGGAAGCTGCAGCTCGAACAATTGCAACTCACAGGCTCTTTCTAGACTTGGTCTGTTTGCTGCTGTTTGCGCGGGCTTTTCTACAACACTATCTCGTTGTGATCTCTTTGATTTGGGGGAGACCATCTCGTTTCATAGCAAAATGGCGAAATGTCAACTTGCTGGGATAATCTGACCATATTAACACATATTCCATATTCAATTGTCGGATAATTGGTCGGCCACGCATATTGTCCGTTCCAGTCGGTAGTCTTTGGTTTCCCGCGTACCTCCAAACAGCATGCAGTGAAATTGACATCACATGTGGATTGGTATAACTCAGCTTCTCAGCAGGGAGCACAACTGGCAAGAGCCCATTCCAAAAAATCCAAAAGACAAGGTGCAGGCCAAGCCGTGATCTCGTTTACACTTGCCAACTGCGATACTGTCTTGGAGGTCGCTCGCTGGCGAAGAAACATTAATCTTGAACTGCGTCGGAGTTTCAGCAGCTTACGAATAAGCTTTGATTCACTGCATTTCTTCCAGACCAGCATGACTGCACATCTCCTCGCCCACAGTGATGGTGGTTTGCGCGTAGACCTCCATGCGCCCGTTCTGCTGATTCCAGCTGTAATCGCAATTGGGATTGCACGAGTGGTTGAAGCGGCTCAGCTTCAAGCAAAGCACCTGACAAGAATGAAGTCGACACACTTTGCAGTTCATGAGTCAATGATGACTTCACCAACCCCTCAGGTCGACAGAACTTCCAAAACGTGACCAAGCGTCAAATAAGCGTCCCATGTCCAACAGAGCCACTGGCTCTGAGCATATGTGCCATGTAGCAATTCCTATTGAGGGAGCCATGACCACAGGAGCTTTGACCAACCACTAGCTCCAAGCCCCTCCCAGCAAAATGTCGGTTTGGCCATGTCACGTCAACACCCCCCAACCCCCCTGCTACTTTTTAGACTTTTTGCAGAGATTTAATTGCACCCCTATTCGAATCATCACTTCTGCGAACATCATGGGGGGGCTGCCGCCCCCCCCAACCCCCCCGCAACTTTTTGTTTTTACCGGGATTTGAATGCCCTCCTATTTGAATCATTTTTTTGACCCCGTCAACCCACCAGCTACTTTTAAGATTTTGTTACCCACGATTTGTTGGTGATGCTAGGGATGTTGGTCGAACATGCGGGGGATGTTGAAAACGATGCTGGGCTAGTGTGCGTCAATTTCGCGAAAAAATGCTGTAAAGCACGTTTGGTTTTTAATTGGCCTGGACGAACAACAAAACAAAAATCCCAAACACCAAAAGAAATCCACGCCCTTACTTTTCTAGAGTGAAGATGCCCCTAGCCATCCGCAGGCAAACACCCCCCCCTCGCAGAGACTAAGTCGCAACAGGATCATTTGGCCACGGGGCACAACCTATGGCTCTATTTTGGGGTGGATGGACCTCCATTTGCCACCTATTTTGATGTTCACCAGGGGTACAAGGTTGTGACCCACAGCCATTTCTAGACCATATGGCAGTGGCTCAAAATTAAAGAGCTAGGATTTGTTGCAGGTTTTGGTCCATGTTTTCACCAGGGTTCCATTTGCTACTCGGTTTTTTGAGCCATGCCCATATCGCCCCCAGACCAATCACACGTCAGGCCACAGCTTTGGAGCGGCAGAGCGCCTCCCACCGAGAGGACGCCCGGCGAGCGGTTGGGTCCCGTGCGGGTCCGCGGTTCGGGCATCGTCTCGCCTCAACGACCCCATGGTTATCTATACGAAGATGGTGCTGGTAGCCAAAGAATTCAGATCAATATAGGCATCATCAATGCTACTTAATATAAGTAGCATGGATGTTACGCATATTCATATGGTGCTTTTTTTTAGCTCATGCGCCGGGAGCCGTCAAACTTCACGGGGACCGATCAGAGAGAGCTACCGTGGCTCGTGTTGCTCCATCCTCTGGTAAGGAATGCGAACGCCTACGTGCTGATTGCGATGAGGCGCAGCAGGCGGCGATGATATCGACAGTTCGGGGCTGGCGTCCCAAGTGCCATGGTTCAGCTTGCCCTTATATGGCCATGGGTCAAAATCCCGTACCCGCAGTGAACATCCCAATCCCCGCTAAAATAGACTACAATGGGTGGTGCACCTACACCAAAATGGTACCATTGGTTTTGACCCACGGCCATACAATTGGTGGTTAGAAATTGGTGGGATTTGACCTTTAGTTCCTTTAAATGGGGAAGCTAGCCCCGAAGGTCCACCAAACCCAACCACTAAATAATTCGGGGGAAGCCTTTGATGAAGCCAAATGGGGAAGCCTTTGATGAAGCCAAATGGGGAAGGTAGCCCCGAACGTCCAGACCAACAAAACCAAACCGCCCATTTGGGGGGAAGCTGAGAGGGGGGAAGCTGAGCGGGGTGCCATTCCGTGGATTCGACTCGACTCGACTTCGACGGGTCCTGTTCGTAGGCACGTCTTCGGCTTGACCGCCAAGTCACCGAGCTGCAGCAACAGATCGCCGCGGCCCTGGAACGACTCTAGGGCGTTGCCTCTGGCTTGGACTCATAGGAGGTGTGACCGTTATGCAGACTCAGATGACTCAAACGTAGGGAGCAAGGACCAACCCACGCCATGCGCTTTTGCTTTTTGATGCCCTGAAACCTGAAACCAAGCAAGCAAGTGCCGGAGAAAGCTGAACGCGCGTTGAGCGCAAGAATATCTACAGCTAAGGTTGTCCTGGCATGCATATCATGATGAACACTTTGAACAGTCGTCCAAACCTAACCATGTTTTGAAGACATGAACTATGAACTATGACCTCTTCATCCGAGTCTTGCGAGTAGCAGAGTAGCATGCACGTTTTTTTCAAGGAGACGGAAGCCTTGGGCAAGACCCTGGGTCCCCAGTAGGGCCCTTTTACCCTTTCTTTGTGGTTTGGGTTTCCCTACTAAAATAGCCAAACCAGAAAAAAAAGAGTTGGTACCAAAAATTCTAACCTCTGAAATCTGGAGGATGTCGCCCTTTGACGGGGCGCTGCTTTTTGCCGAGGCCCGCGTGCAGAGCAAGTTGGAGGCCAGCGCCGGGGAGGCCAAGGAGCAGCTCTCCCGGGCCGCGGCGGAGCAGGCGGGGCGCGCGAGCGGTGGGTTGGAGGACTCCGAGGCGGTGGGTTGGAGGACTCCGAGGGTGGGTGGGTTGTCAGAAAGCCCCGCGATTTTTATTCTTCCACAGGGAATTCTCCGCTAAGAATAGCGATTTGGTTTTCTTGTCAGACCTTGAATAGTCATAGGGTGACCCGTTTTTTTTCTCTTGTCCAGGTCTTCGTTTCAACTTGTTTCGGAGCTGAAGCCTGTGGCGTCCCGGAATTCCAATCGGATCTCCAATTGGTTCTCTTCCACGAGCTCTCGATTCCAATCGAAGCGGCCGCCGGATCCGATTTTCTGGGTTGCCAACAGTTGGCCTACTTCTTTTCAAGTTCGCGGGGTTGCTCCTTATGGCTTTTGTTTTTGGATAGAACGTGGAGTGTCTCTTGAACATTTCTTTATCTCAACACAGAAAAACACCCTTTTCAGAGAAAACAACAAGACAACAACAACCACTTTAGGGGACACTTCCAGTTCCATTCTTTCCAGGGATCCGAATCTTTCTAGAAAACCAACAGCCCAGGGGAAACGGCTGGTGTTGAGAAGAACGATGGTTGAAAAGAATGGGACATCAACCCCTGGATTCTGATCAAGCCCCATATTCTCCACAAGGCATGGTCAAGGTGAGCCGCTTTCTGGTCTAGCAATCAGCCCCCATTGGAACACCGCGGGGTTTCTTCGGCGTTGTTTTTTTTCCAGCCGCAACAAAAATCCCTGGGACGCCCTCGGGGGACCCCATCGCCCGCTTTCACGGCACGCCGGAGGCGAGCCTGCGGTCACAGCTCCAGGCGTGCGAGCAGCGCTGGCACCAGGCGGGCGCCAACCTATTTGAGCTGCCAAAGCGTTTTTTGTTGTTGCTTCTTTTCTTCCTCTGGTTTTTCTCTCGCTTTTGTTTCTTTTGCTTTTTGCTTTTTTGGTGTTTTCCCTTTTGTCTTTCTCGTGTCTGTTTTGTTGGGGGGGGTGTTTCCCCCTTTTTTTCTTCCCGTGTCTTTCTTTTGTGTGGGGGGGGGGAGGCCGATTTTGTTTTGCCGTTTTGTCTTCCCCCCTTTTTTTTTTTGGGGGGGGGGGGGGCAAAGTTTGGCCAAGTGAGATGGGTGGTGATCCGTTTTGGGTAGGTTTAGTACTAGGGTTTGGTGAAGTATCATGGTCTATTTTGCAACCTCCTTTGTTTAGGGTAGGTTTTGTTTAGGGTTGAATTCTGCAAAGTATGCTCTAAGTGTCCATGGCACCGGGGGGGGGGGCAAAGGGTTTAGGTGGGTGGTGATTGGTAGGCCTTTTTATTGCTAGTGTTTGATTGTGGGTCTTAAACTCGGTTGCCTCTAAAAGCGATTGGGACACCTGGTGTCCCTTTGCCGCAAGCCCAACAACAATATCCCCCAAGAAAACAGACTCAGTCTTTTGCTTAGATTGCTTAGTAGACACAGCTTGCACTTTGGACCAACCCATTCAAGTGAGATGTTATTTTCCTGGAAGTGGCTTTGAGGGATCCTAGGTTACCCGCCATGTTCCTTTTGGTGTCTTTAAAGCCTCGTCGTGTTTTTTGGTTGTTGTTGTTGTTTTTCGGTTTTCTGCTATCAGGGAAATGGAATCGCCACGTGGGGCAAGAGCCTGAATCAAGATAAGGAAAGATGGTTGGCATCGGGGAATTGAATTCCCCACGGCATGGGAAGGACGGATTGGTGGGTTCTTGTTAATCCGTGAGAAACCTGCCCCAAAATGGGTGGTTTGCTTTTGGTTTCCCTTCAACCCCTTAAAACTTAACCTCAAAACGACGCCTCTTCATCTTGTCCCAGTTCAGAGGCCCTCTTTTCGTTTTGAACGCCGATTCAGCCCCCGGATTCGATTCGGAGGGCGCTGTTTCGCCAGCTTCGGAGGTGAAAATAGAGCAAGTTGACCCCTGGTGAGACCGGGGTCACTGTTTTGACTGTTTCTGGGGGTTATCAAAGTCCGAAAAATGGGGATCTACCACCGGACCACTACCACATTGGTCATGGGAACATAGTGAGGCCAGTTCAAACCTCCACTTCTTAACGGGGGGTTCCTTTTTTGGGATTCCTTGTTTCCAAACCCCTGATTAATAACTGGGGGCAGTAGAAATTAGGGGCCAACATGACTGGAGGATTTTCCTGAACTGCTGGGAGCCTCAACTCAACCCAATCGCACTGCAGTGAAATGAAGAAGGGGCCTTTTCGGCAGCTCCTGATTGTGGGGCAATTCGGTGGGTTGGGTCACCATCCCTTTGCTATGTAGCCGGTCTCCTTCTGTAGGAAGCTCTCTTAGAGACATGGCGAGAACCCCCCCCCCACCCAAAGAGGATTCCAGTCAATCCCCACATGGTAAAGGATCTCATTCATTCAAGCCAGCCTGGCACTATGCCAAATGCCCCAAAGGTTCAAGGCCGGCACATCCACGCAGGGGACCCTCCCATGGAACTCCCGGACCTCTGGACAGAGTGTTCCCTTCGTCGGCCGTCTCGACAAGTTCTTAACTGGAGACATACACCAACGATCTAAGACCAAGATGTCCAGACATCATGACCTTGCCCAACGCGAACCAACCTTTTGATCACCATTGAGTTTTCCTTTGGTTGAGTTTTAGTTATTTTGAAGAATTCACAGCAGACAAAAAGGAATGATGTATCAAACTGAGCCTGAAAAGTCTTGTTGGATGAACACTGCTTATGAGTACGGTAGAGTGCTTACCAAAAGCTTGTGCAGAAACATATGCTTTTGCACAGAGGTTAGAGGGGTTGAAAACCGAGGTTTGGTCAACGGCTGGAACCAGTGCATTCATCCCCAAGTGATGCTGGAGAAATGGATCTTGCATGCCCTAGTGAAATGCTGATGGACGAAATCCTGCACCAAGTTGAACCACGGCAAACCATTATTTGTTGGTATCAGGCGAATCATCATTCCATTGTTTGTTATTTGTTGGTATCAGGGAAGCCATTGTTTGTTGGTATTTACAGGCGAATCATGATTCCGTTGGTTTTCTTAGGTGGTGCGAAATGGATTTCGTCCATCAGTAGGTATACCAGATCGTAGAGAAGCATCATTTTTTGGTCACCTCGGGAATTGTTTTCCGTCCCGAAAGGCGAGGTCTCAACTTCTATTTTCCAGGCCCCAGGGGGTGAGTGACACCAGGCCCAGGAGGAGCTGCGCGTGACCAGCATCCGGGCTCAAGGCGCCGAGGAGCGGAGCTTCGGACCGCGCCGGCGCGGTGCGAGGGAGTCCTCTGATCTTTATTAGGGAGCTCGCCAGGTAAAGAGAGCTCATGACACAAATTTCATTTTTTTTTTAAAAAAAAAATCAAGTCTTGGAGTCTTGGAGTTGCAGACTTTTTTGCGGAATTCGTGGAGGCCGTCGCAAAAAAAAGAGGATCTTGGACACCGGGCCTCCCTGTCTTGACTGCTATTGGGTGGGATCTTTAGACTTTAACTCTTTGGTTGAAATCAAGTTGGGGTTTTCCGATCTAAACCCCCAACAAGTTAAACTCCTTGAAAATGACATGGGAGTTTTATATTGACTGTCACCTGTGGCCGGATCCTAGGTCATATACATATATATATATATACACACACACTTTTTGCAGGGGGGTCGTTGCAGCAACCAAGCTGTGCTTCGGATCTGTTAGGAGACCCTCACCAAGACGCAGGCGGAGCTTCAGGAGGAGCGGCTCAGGCGAGGAGCGGTTGACTCGGCGGTGGCATGGAAACAGAGGTGGCCGTGGGTGTCAACACCGTTTTGGGATCCCATTTTGGGGTTGGTAGGTGAATTCACACCCATTTTAGTCCATTTTAGGGGGGATGGGTAGGTGCACCACCCATTTTAGAACCTGTTGGATTGGGATGTTCACTGGGGGGAAAGGGGTTTTGACCCAGGTCGGTGTTTGGCAAAGGAGGTACGCATCTGAGGCAATATACGTCTTTGCACCCTCCAGCTCCTTGACACAATTTCCCACCGGGTGTTGCGCGAACCATAAGAAGCAAAGAGTAAGCAAGCCACCAGCACTTGGAGCTCACTCGTTTGGTGGATCACGCAATCTTTGCAAAGTGAAAAGCAAGCCCAAACAGCGATGATTACCCGGGCTCTACCAAATCAGGCTACTCAGTTTCAGGGTCAAGCTGCGGGTTTGTGTGGGATTGGTTTGTGGCTGCGTTGGCTTTGCCTGGTTGGATGTTTTAGTGTCAGAGTTGGTTTTGGGCGCTTTGCTCGGAATAGTTTAGGGCGGGCGGCATGCGTTGGTTGGGATGTGGTCGTTGTGATGATGCTCCCTCCTTGTTTGCCAGCGCGCGAGCGTGGAGGGTGTTTTTCTCTTTCGTTTTTTGTTGTCTTCTTCTTCTTCTTTTCTTTTTCCGTTGTGTGTGTGCGCGTGACTTGCTACCCAGCTGAGGGGAACTGTAGATACATCCCGACCAGAACCGCTGGGAGGGCTTCCACTGCGCGGAAGGAGGGTCAAAATTCAGCCAGGGTCTAAGCCTTCCATTTGCTGCAAGGAATATCTTGTATGCCCTTGGCTTTAAAGGGAGTCGATTTCACTGGACATATTTTGAATCAGTTTTTGTCCAGGGGCGAAGAAGCAACAGGAAGTAATTGCTGGTCTTGGTGGTGGCTTTGAACGTTTTCGTCCTTTGCCATGACAAACACAACAGGCAGTCAGCAGCGTTTCGCCAACCCTTTTCACCTTTCAACTGATCCAAGGACGCGTCGGCGGTCCAGGGCCTTTCGGTCTCAGACAAAGTTTGGTTCTTTCTCGAACAAAAACCCTGAGGCACGTAGGTGTCCTTTTTGGTTGTTTTGGTCGAAAAATAGATGGCCCTGGTTTACCTGGTGGTTTAATCATCGACCAGGGCCATCTATTTCCCCTAAAAGGACGCCTATGCTAAGGCATCTATAATTCTCCACGTTTCTCTCTCCCTGAATCACTGGCGCATTGTCTTGCTGGTTCTCAGCAGGGCATCACTTGGAATGACCCCTAAACCATCCATCCTATGGTTTCCTTTCTTCTTTCCTTTCTTGGATCCCCTTCCACCGATGCATTCGAATCCCCGTCATTCCCTACCCTATCGCATTAGCAAGTGGCTCCCATCCCCTGCATTGGTGGCGAAGCCAGCCATCCGGTTCCTTGGCTTTTTAGCCTTTCAGCGTTCAGTGGTAGTTTCCATTCAACGCACTAGGGGGATCTGAGGGCAGCCCAGCAGCGGTTTCCTTTTAAAATCCCCTGCCTTGGTGCATTCCCCAAACTCCGAAGGTCATTCCCTACCTCTCGCACCAGCCATCTTTGTTCTCAGATTAGTGCCAGTTGCTCGCCAGTGCCAAATGGCAGCTTGACCTGGGAGTGCATGCCTTCCTGACACATCCATGCGAAAACTTGCTGGTGCTCAGGGCATGTGGGAATGAATTCATTCCCAGGGTCCCATTGTTCGGAAAGCATTCCAGTGGGATGGTTTTTCTTGGGGTGATTCCATTTCTCATGCTCTGCATCTCTCACACCAGCAAGATATGCGGTACCCACCTTTTTGGCGGTTTGACTGGGAAACCAAGCAACACCATCAATGCTGGAAATTCCCCCCCCCCCCCAAAAAAAAAAAAACAAACAAACAACTCTGGACAAACCCATAACCAAGGGGAAGCCATCAATCCTGAGAGTTCCCAATTTTAAGAAACCAAGGGGAAGCCACCAACTCTGGACAACCCGACAACCAAGGGGAAGCCATCATTCCTGGGCGTTGAGAATTTTAAGCCTAACCCTTAACACGAAAATTTGTCCCATCTCCAGGTCTCCTTTGGTTTTTCAGCCTTCTCAAAGCAGGGGGGGGAACCCAATTTTCACGTCTCTGTCCCAAAAAAAAGAAGAAACCGGACGCACAGACCTAACCAACCTCGTCCGAGCGGTCAGCGAGTCAGCGAGCGCAGGGCCAGCAGCAGCCTGGAGTCCACGAAGCGCCATGCGGACGCGGAGTGCCGGAAGCTGCAGCGCCAGCTGAAGGCGACGCTTTCGGTCGACGCGGTCAACGGTCGACGCTTTCGGTCGAAGCCCCTAAAACCACCCAAAAAGGGGGTAGATGTACCTTCAAGCCAACGTGTTTCTCAGAGAGGCACCATGTGGAACCAACATAGAAGCTGATGGAAGCGCATGACTGCCTGTTCATCTCCATTTTGAGACTGACGGGTCCCACGTGCTGCTCGCAAACCAGCCCATTGCCCCTCATGTTCCCTATGTGGGAAGCGGGCGGGCGAGAAGCGGTTCGGTTTTTTGGGTCGACCAAGGTTGCGGGACCCGTTTCTGCAACGGGGGGGGGGGTCACACCAAGGCCGCTTTGACCTGGGTCGGGTTTGGGGTCGGGTTTGGGGGTTGTTAGGGTTGGTTTGGGGTTGGTTCGGGGCTGGTTTGGGGTTGGTTTGGGCTTGATTAGGGTTGGGGCTGGCTGGGAGAATGGTCGAATTTTCTGCAACCAGTGTTCGGTCGCCTTCAGAGCCATTTGTGAGCCGTGTAGCCAAGAACCAAAAGGGAGCGTGCCTTTTTAGGTCCTTGCTTGATTTCGGCCGGGAACTGCGGCACCGTTGATCGATCTCCGGCCGAACATTTGTGGCCTGAGACTTGACAGGCGGTTGGCAGAACTATTCAAAGCATCTGCACACCGTGTTGCTTTTAAGTTTCTTGCAGTGAGCGGCCGTTTTCTGCAGAGAAACATGTTCATGTACATCCACCTTGTACATGACCCTGCTCCTTTGTACATCAAGGCCTTGAGCCTACAGCCCGACTACAGCCCTCGCTGGATACAACAAGTGCCGCGCTGTCACACACACACACACAGGTTTGATACACTCAGGCTATTAGGTGATTACACAGTCAGTCCCACTTTAACATTGTAGCGGAGCAGTGATCCCTGGTACACGATCCTTGACCACTACCCAGGGTGAGCTCCAACACGCGCTCACAGGTTCAGGTACGCAGCATGGCACAACAACAGCAGCAGCAGGAACAGCAGCTGGAAGGAATCCACAAATACAAGATATCACCACCACGGTTCACAGGAGAATACAACACCTTCGAGGAATGGAAATGCAAGATGACAGCATACCTGGGATTACAAGACCCAGCATGCAACAGACTGCTCAGACAGAGCAATCAGTAGGACAAGTTACAAACGACCAATTGGAGAACGCAGCACCTTCACAACAAGTTGCAGAGCAATGGATGCAACTGAGCAACAACTTACACTACCTCTTAGTGAGCACACGCGACGGACCAGCATCTACAATCTGCAGACAAAACACACAAGGCAACGGCTTTGAACCATGGCGGCTGATACATGCAAGGTATTCCATACCACGTGGAACAAGAAGCATTGGATACCTTACACGGCTACTAAAACCACAACTGGATGAACAGAAGTTCGAAGAGAGCTTTACAACATGGGAGTTCCAACTCTCCAAGTATGAACAGGACAACAACACACTACTACCAGATGCAGTCAAGATTGCCGTACTGCTCAATGAGACAACAGGACAACTACAACAACACCTACAGCCGCAAGCAGGAAACACCACAACGTATGCACAGATCAGATCCATGGTGACCGAATACTACAGAGCAACAGCAACCTTCACCAGGCTACAAGCACTCACATCAGGCAGCAACAATCAAGGACCGGCACCGATGGACATAGGAGCAACATGGTACAACAAAGGCAAAGGAAAGAGGGGCAAACACAAGGGCAAAGGAAGATGCAACAAGGGCAAAGGCTGCGGGAGCTACGGGAACAACTACAACTACAAAGGAGGAAAAGGCAAGTACAATCAACAATCGGTTGGACAAGGGAATCCTTTCAAAGGACAACAAGGATATGGCAAAGGAAAAGGATACAACAATTAAAGGACCGGATAACCCCACATGCTATGTTTTTCCCAAGGATGTGAGTTCAAATGTCCACACACATGTACCGTGCGCCCCTTGTATGGATGCGATTACAGAGCACCCAGATGCACAGAATGCAGCGCCTGCCACGACTTCGGCAACGGCATCGCCAAAGTGCTGCGCCTGCCACGATTTCGCAACGGCATCGCCAAAGTGCTGCGCCTGCCACGATTTCGCACGCCCCCCGCCGCGCGCGCGACAACATCCTGTCCCTCTAGACAGCTGCCGAATGCGACCCCTGCCACACAAACACACACCCAGATGCACAGAATGCTGCGCCTGCCACGACTTCGGCAACGGCATCGCCAAAGTGCTGCGCCTGCCACGATTTCGCAACGGCATCGCCAAAGTGCTGCGCCTGCCACGATTTCGCACGCCCCCCGCCGCGCGCGCGACAACATCCTGTCCCTCTAGACAGCTGCCGAATGCGACCCCTGCCACACAAACACACACCCAGATGCACAGAATGCTGCGCCTGCCACGACTTCGGCAACGGCATCGCCAAAGTGCTGCGCCTGCCACGATTTCGCAACGGCATCGCCAAAGTGCTGCGCCTGCCACGATTTCGCACGCCCCCCGCCGCGCGCGCGACAACATCCTGTCCCTCTAGACAGCTGCCGAATGCGACCCCTGCCACACAAACACACACCCAGATGCACAGAATGCTGCGCCTGCCACGACTTCGGCAACGGCATCGCCAAAGTGCTGCGCCTGCCACGATTTCGCAACGGCATCGCCAAAGTGCTGCGCCTGCCACGATTTCGCACACCCCCCGCCGCGCGCGCGACAACATCCTGTCCCTCTAGACAGCTGCCGAATGCGACCCCTGCCACACAAACACACACCCAGATGCACAGAATGCTGCGCCTGCCACGACTTCGGCAACGGCATCGCCAAAGTGCTGCGCCTGCCACGATTTCGCAACGGCATCGCCAAAGTGCTGCGCCTGCCACGATTTCGCACACCCCCCGCCGCGCGCGCGACAACATCCTGTCCCTCTAGACAGCTGCCGAATGCGACCCCTGCCACACAAACACACACCCAGATGCACAGAATGCTGCGCCTGCCACGACTTCGGCAACGGCATCGCCAAAGTGCTGCGCCTGCCACGATTTCGCAACGGCATCGCCAAAGTGCTGCGCCTGCCACGATTTCGCACACCCCCCGCCGCGCGCGCGACAACATCCTGTCCCTCTAGACAGCTGCCGAATGCGACCCCTGCCACACAAACACACACCCAGATGCACAGAATGCTGCGCCTGCCACGACTTCGGCAACGGCATCGCCAAAGTGCTGCGCCTGCCACGATTTCGCAACGGCATCGCCAAAGTGCTGCGCCTGCCACGATTTCGCACACCCCCCGCCGCGCGCGCGACAACATCCTGTCCCTCTAGACAGCTGCCGAATGCGACCCCTGCCACACAAACACACACCCAGATGCACAGAATGCTGCGCCTGCCACGACTTCGGCAACGGCATCGCCAAAGTGCTGCGCCTGCCACGATTTCGCAACGGCATCGCCAAAGTGCTGCGCCTGCCACGATTTCGCACACCCCCCGCCGCGCGCGCGACAACATCCTGTCCCTCTAGACAGCTGCCGAATGCGACCCCTGCCACACAAACACACACCCAGATGCACCGCGCGCGACAACATCCTGTCCCTCTAGACAGCTGCCGAATGCGACCCCTGCGACCCCTGCCACACAAACACACACCCAGATGCACAGAATGCTGCGCCTGCCACGACTTCGGCAACGGCATCGCCAAAGTGCTGCGCCTGCCACAATTTCGCAACGGCATCGCCAAAGTGCTGCGCCTGCCACGATTTCGCACACCCCCCGCCGCGCGCGCGACAACATCCTGTCCCTCTAGACAGCTGCCGAATGCGACCCCTGCCACACAAACACACACCCAGATGCACAGAATGCTGCGCCTGCCACGACTTCGGCAACGGCATCGCCAAAGTGCTGCGCCTGCCACGATTTCGCAACGGCATCGCCAAAGTGCTGCGCCTGCCACGATTTCGCACACCCCCCGCCGCGCGCGCGACAACATCCTGTCCCTCTAGACAGCTGCCGTGAGTCAGCGAGTGTGAGTGAGTGAGTGAGCGAGTGAGTGAGTGAGTGAGTGAATGAGAGTGAGTGAATGAGAGTGAGTGTGAGTGAGTGAGTGTGAGTGAGCGTGAGTGAGTGAGTGAGTGAGTTTGAGTGAGTGTGAGTGAGTGAGTGTGAGTGAGTGTGAGTGACTGAGTGTGAGTGAGTGAGTGTGAGTGAGTGTGAGTGAGTGTGAGTGACTGAGTGTGAGTGAGTGAGTGTGAGTGAGTGAGTGTGAGTTGAGTGAGTGTAAGTGAGTGAGTGAGAGTGAGTGAGTGAGTGAGTGAGTGAGTGAGTGAGTGAGTGAGACGGAGACGAGCGGGAGAAGGAGAAGGAGACGCGGCGCGCGGACGACGAGCGGAAAAAGTAAGAACCCCACACAAAGATGTGGGGAACAAAGGAAAAGGAAAAGGATATTACAGCAATCAACAAGGAGGAAAAGGAGCAAAAGGAAAGCGTGCGCCAATGTTTGCTACAGATGTGGACAGCCAGGACACATGGCCAAACAAGGCAGAGTGGCGATCTACAACTGCGACACTGGCAACTTCGACACCAATGACCAGACAGATGACTGGCACAGTCAGGCACACTATGACGACAACTGGTACTACTATGATCAAACACTTGTACAACAACTTGCGTTGCCACAACCGCGACAGCCAGCAGATCCATCAGTAGTACCCATCTCAGGAGAACGTGAAGCAACAATTGCCATGATTGGCGCAGCGCAGCGACCTGAAAGGAAACTCAACGGGAGCTCAGAGCGAAACTGGGACAGACACCAAAATGAGAAAGCTACCAAAGGGAAACCAAAGGAAACCAAAGGGAACCAAAGGGAACTAAAATGAAACCAAAGGGGAACCAAAACGACACAAAAGGGAAACCAACGGGACGCCAAAAAAAATGAGACGCAGATTCTCACGAGCTTGGATCCCAGAGGCGCTTGATTTCCCCCAAAGGGAACCCTGACCCCACCTGCTAATATTATCCATCGCCTCAAGTTAACAACTAAGCACAATGAACTTGCCAAGACAGAATTTGACATAAAACACGTCAGCATGCGGCCGCGCAGGTCAAAACGGCAGTGTTCACAAGATTCGCCCAAGTCGGATTTGGATCCCAAACAGTTTGGTGGCTCGAAGCATCAGTGCCAGCATCAGTGCCTTTGAACTATGTGGGGGGTTGTTGTTGGTTGCTATGCTACCAGCTGCTATGCTTCTTTTGCTCCTGCCTGTTTTCCTTTTCCTCCTTGCTTTCCTTCCCTGCTCCTCTTTTCCTTGTTTTCTGGCTTGCCAATGCTGCATTCTTATGAGCTCCGAGGCCCGCATGCTCATACAGTGGCCACTTGTGAGGTTCCAATTTTGAGGGCGCAACTAAAGCACACAACTTCGAAGAAGGGCGCAGCTTGTAATTCAACACATGTGAGAGTAGGACAAGAGCGTGAACACCTTTTTTTCCGCCTCATTTTAGAATCCTGTACGCGAAACAAAGTAAAGGAGCAGCAACATCGCCACAACCGCAGCGGCGCCCTCAGCATCACCACCGGCGCAGCTT